TTTAAATTCAATGTCAATGGTTATTTCCATTTTTCTTAATTATTTTTCTCTCTCCTTTATAGTAGATTTTCTCATATTCTCTAACACTCAGTAACCCCCTTCCGTCATAGTGGCTTTATAGCCTTTACGTATGAAATATATATATATATATATATATATATATATATATATATATATATATATATATATATATATATTCATTTCTGTAGTTCACTGCTAACAGCAAGCAGAAATATTTCTCCTCCCGATGATGGCCATTTCGGTCGAAACTAGTCGAGGAATCTAAATGGAATAATAATAATAAAAAAACGAAAGAATATTAATCTACAACCCAGTGTGTCTAATGATTTTAATTTTTTATTTTTTATTTTCTTATTGTTCAATATATATATATATATATATATATATATATATATATATATATATATATATATATATATATATCGGGATAACGAAATAGGAGAAAAAAAAAAAGGAGAAAATGAAAAGAATTTATTTTGTTCGGATTCTATCACAAAAGTGATAGAATTAAATCTACTTATTTTGGATTTTGTTCAGCTACAAGAATTATAAAGGTTGTTATGTAGTTTTCATGTTTTCGGTAATCCTCTATCTGAAATTACAGTAACCAGTGTTAGTAACACCAGACTTTATAACAAATATAATGTATAAACTGCTATTGGTTTTTGAAATTACAAACGAACAATTTGCCATGATTGGAATTCAAAACAACTACTAACAGCAATTCAAAATAAGATTAATGTGCTATTGAAATGGCACATTTTTTTTTTATGAGACTACCAAGTACTTAGTTAAGAATTTTAAAATGTAACATTTTGACATACTAATTTTTTTCTGTAACCTTAAATGAGAGTAACGCTTGTAGCAAAATGAAAATTTACATTAAGCATGTCTTTAAAATGTATTTGAATAAATGTATAGTTATGAATGTGGGCGTTTAAAATGAGTTATGATTGTGAATTAGGTTGATAAAATTTACTGATACTTTGAGGGTGAAAATAATTTTCTGTTTATTTTATAATGAAATAAGCCGAGAAAGTTGCACAGCACACAACGGTGGTGAAATTGTCAACCATTATTTCGTCATTAGTGGTAATTATGTTCTATGAAAGCGGAATCAGAACTTAGGGAAATTACTCAGGTAATATTGTAGTTGATCTGTTTTTTTTTTGTTACTGTGTTGATTTAAAAAAGGTATTGGAGAACATTTTGAATTTTAAAGTTTTAATAACTTGACATCTAATAGATAAAAAGAAATATTTAATAAGAGGTTATTGCAGGAATTAACTATCTTTAAAATAAGAAAATAATAATGGAGGTACATCTTAAGGTACAACGAGTAAAGAAGACATTAAATCAGTTGTATCATAACCTGTAAAAATGAATGATATATTTAATTACATATTTAATCTACGAGAAGATATATTACACACAAAATATTCAAAAATCCATTGGAAAGCAAATTTTTAATTGAAACGAAATTTTCATTGCAATATAAATAATTTTGATTGACATGTAGCTTGCGTCGTATCGAAAATCATTGACTATCTCCAGTTCTTTTTAATTATCCGTAAAGTATTTTTTAAATGAATGCACATTGTTTGGACTTACGCTGATAAATATAGCATTTTTAATTCTATATTTATTAACTTAATTCAATTAATGTACATTTTCCGCTTAACATTTTGACGCTTAACATTTGATGATATAAACAAAAATCTTGAGCGCGCAAGTATTAATCGTATAATCTGTTAACGGCATGAAGTAATCGCAAACCGAAAAAGAACTCTTCTTCAGTTATGTATCGTCATTGTTTTCTTTCTTTGCACTTTACTTCAACTTTACTTCAACTTTACACATAGAATCGTGACCATAAGTGATGTCCATCTTAGGAAAATTGACTTTTTCGCCTTTTATTCGAGCAGATTATGAAATATTTTGTATGTATGCTGTATGATGATGCTTGGAGTATAAAACTAAGTCAATTGTTGCATTTGCCATGACCGAATTGCGCGGACATTTTTGTATTCATTTTTCCATGTGTTTCTATTTAGAATTTGTTGTCTGTAATATTAGATATTTTGTAGATTTTGAGAAAAATGGCTGAATCTTGTTAACCATCTTCGGATACCGCTCGTATATCGGATCTGAACACCGCTTTGTCTGCAGAATTATTGCAAAGAATCGTAATTCCGATATTGTGCAGAATTTGATAAATTAGACAAAGTGGAAAACTGTTTTATTAACGATTACACGTTTTGCCATCGTTAGATAGACTTCCTCAGATCAGAACAAAATAAATATATGTGATGTCTGGATTCTATATCCTATTATGCAGAATGTAAACCGCTGTGACAGACCAAGAAAGACTAGCGAACGTTTTGATTGAAGAACGAAAGTTATCTTAATTTGTAACCGCTCCAAAATAATTCCAGAATTAGATGTGCAATGGCGACGAACCTCTCATTTCATTTATCACTGCAAAGTGACGGTGACAAAAAACTGGGTTAAGACGTTGTGGATTTCATCGTGGAAGACTGGAGCCGCGTTTTATAGTCCGACGTATCAAAATTCAACATAATTGCGTCAGATAGTATCAAATATATTCGTAGAGGGCGTTATGATCGTAAATGAATGACTGGTACTGATAAGTATGGCGACAAAAATTATAGTCACGAGATAATTGTCTGCAATCATTGTTAGAATGATCCACAAGTCATTGGCACTTAAAAAAAATGAACCAGTACTTGGAAGTCTTGCAGTAATAACTGCTCTCGAGTATAAACGGATTTATCTAGATACCGAACGTGTAATTTTTAACATAACAACCAATTCAGCTACACTGTGTGAGCCATGAAGGCATTTCTTGCTGGTGTGGCAACATAGTAATACGGTTCGGGTTGGATTTTACAAACTGGATATTATTAGTAGTAGCATGTCGTGGTTGTAAGAAATCCTTTTTAGAAGGAAATTGACATTAAAAAAGTAAGGCCTGAATTTGCCAGCAAGCGTTAGGGAGATCCCTGAAGAAAGGGATTCAGATCTCGTTTAGATTAAAGATAAAAAGAGAAAATTGTAAATTTTAATCGTTACCGGTGTGGCGGTATTGATGACCAGTATAAATATTTTAAATTTATGAAGTTAGATGTATAGAGATTTTAGAGGACTCCAACTTGGAATTAAGTCAGCCAGAGCGAATAGAGACAACAGAGATGATCTCTTTCCTTCTGGATGTACGTAGAATGACATTTGTTCTGCGCAAGTTGTTGATTATAGAGGATTGGCTTAGAAAAAATACAAAAATACAAGGCGCAGATGTACTTCGACCCAGAACTCTTTAGGGTAGGCAACATGGAGATCTCTTGGAAAGCTGTCTGAAAAAGACCGAAAATGCACTGTTAATTCCCCGTATCGTTCTAGTGAGTAATGAGATTCCATCACCCAGTAATTGATAAGGAGAGTAACAAGGACATTACGTTGGCGACAGACGTGGAAGTGGATACCAATCACGTCTTGATAATGCAGGTTACTATCAACAATATGACAGTATGGACTAATGGATAAGGAGATGTGTTGAATGATACTAGTAAGCATTAGGAACCAAGTAAGGCACGAAGATTAATGTGAAATGAGTTTTCTGCTGTAGCAGAATAATGTACAATTTAAGTGACGTTATACTCATTGGTAATAAATTAAAATAGAGTATCAGTAAAATGCTAACCTGTTGTTTCAACATTTTTCAGTTGTACATTCAATTATGCCTCTAAAAAAACAAGAAAGAAGACAATCAAGTTAAATGATACAAGAACCCCACTCTAACTTTTCTCATGACTTTGGCTAAAGGGATGAGCGTATGAGCAATCCAAATGCGCATTCTTATTTAGTAGTTATTGACCACACCTTTTCACCAAAAGAAAAGCTGAGGCTAGGCAGTGGGTGTTGAGAGGCTGTGGCGGTCTTGCGAAATATCACTCACTAATTACCATTGTAGTCATTGTATGCTTTATTTTCTGTGAGTTTACTGTATTTCTCTGCATATAAAACTCAAATTCCATAATACACTTCAGATGGTCTTTTTTTGGCCAAGTAATTTTGTTAAATAGCTTAACCAAGTTTAGTCTTTCTTTTTCCCAATAAAACACACTGCTCGCTGATGGTTTAAATATTTCAGGTCATTAAGTGCCAAATTACTGCAAATATTTTCTCTGGACATCACTTTTGGTCAGTACTGCAAGTATAGAATGAAGTATCATGGCGGTTTTTGATGAAAAACAAAACAATGATAATCTTGGACTCGGCGCACAACCATTTTTATCTATGTCGATTTAAAGAATTTACTTCAGGTTTTAAAATTATATTTTTCCACTAATTGGTGAGGAATTTGCTACTAAAAAAACTCTACATTAGAATAAATAATACATCATCTATATTATCAACTGAAAAATGTTATAAGCAAAAGAAATTAATATTGAAAATAAGGTCTATAAAGAAAGATGATTGAGTAAATAATTGCCATGATTTGAGATTAAAAAATATATTGACAGTTTAGTGTAGCAATAATTGTCGGTCTAGTATATTATATTTTAATGCGAAATGGTTCCTATTTCTTTTTAACTTGGATTCTATAATATTTTGATTTGCCATTTTTTATACTGAGTGCAAAAACTTGATTTGTTGACGGATCCAAGATGTCATAAAAAAGGTAAACCATTGCAAACCATTTTTATCATTTGACCAAGATGGAAATATTTTCATACTTCTTTTGTGACCGATATTGGTTTATTCCAGAGTTTTTCTTTCTAAGTTTCAGTTGGAGAACAAAGAAAACTACTTGCGTCAGTGAAGACAAGGTCAAAGTTGAAAGTTATTCTTACAAATCTCCTGCAGGACGGAAGGTGACAGGAAGACACTTGTGTATTGGACGAGTCGATGTTTGTTTCATGATTGAAAAAAGGCGAGGATTAGAATTGGCCTCCGATTCAGAAGTAATCATAGTCTACTCTGTAATGGAAATAAAATATTATATTATTAAAAAAGAAAAGTTTAAAAAGTTTGCCTTGTTCATAAATAATTCAGTTAAGAGACACAACGAAAGACATCTCAATTTCTATGGGATCGATCAAATGTTTAAATCAAAGATTTATATATATTTGTATAATATAAATGTACTCTTCGGTATTGTGAAATCTTTTTATCGGAAAAATTTGCACACTCCTAATATTTACAGGAAAAAATATTTGTCATAAAGCAGTAACTAGTTTCACAAATTATTCACGCTTTACTTATTGCCTATTCTATGAAAATGAGGTTTCGTATCAGAGCTATTCAACAAATATATAAAGTCGAATAAACCGATTTCCAGCATCAGTCGGTCGAAAAAGAAATAAGATTAAGGATTTTGTCAGATTAACCTTGTCAGATTCAGGAGGACGTCTATGATCCATAATTCCATTATTACATACTTTTACTGAATATGTTTGATGTCTTTTGTAGTTTCTCTGAAGCATATTTTCTTGAGATGACAGTTGTACTAATAAATCGCTAAATGGCGAAAAGACATTTCTTTTACACATTAAATGTCTATTCTTCAACGGCCTTCATTAGCAGTGTGAATTCAGTGATTAATATTACTCATACAGAGTGAACATTTCAGGTCAAAATTCAGCATATTTCAGTGTCAAGCTAGATACTTATTGATCTATCCTGGTATTATTTACAAATAATTTCAATATTTTATTTCTTTGTTTTTTCATATCATTAACACTTCCAGTTTTATGTTTTATACAAATTACACTCAGAGATAACTATCAAGTTTTTTTTGTTTTTTACAGTGCAACTCTTGGATTGATTTTTGTGCATGGCAGCCACATTGGCAAACTTGCATCTCTTTTGGTGGCAAAGCAAGCTAAAATATCAGAAAAATTAAGAAGTCAGTAGTTTCAACGAAATAAGTCAGACGATCATGGGAATTTTAAGTGTAGTTTCTTTATTTTATTTGAACTAAAGGAGTTTGTTGGGTTACTAATTACCGGAATATCAGTATTGCACGTATATATGTTGGTCTTTGGATTGTTAGAATATTGATGCTGTACCATATTTACAGATGTAATTCTTACCTGTAAGAAGTCCCATTTCGTACCGGTAGTGTCAAAGATCTCTCAATTGAGGTAATATTAACTGGATGATCCTCGGCATACGGCGTATACGGGGGAGGCGCAGAAGCCAAAAAGTAAGGGTCTAATACAAACTCGTTATTCTCAATGATGTATGTTAGGTTTAAATGTCTGACGTACTACTGTTGATCTGGTCCATTTGTCGAGATTGTTGTGAAAGCGGTGGAGGTGGTGACGGTGGCGGTGGTCCTGACTGGTATGTCTGGCCTGTTTCTGGAACGTCGAGTGGAGGAATGGTCATTTGCTGTTGGTCGATTTCCGGTGTGCTGGATCTGGCTGATTCTGGAGAGTTCCAATGTTGTCTTCCTTGGCTGCAAGTATCCGGGAGGTAGACACAATCGCTAGGCCGGGAGAGAGAATTGAGGACACGAGGTCGGCGAGTGCTAAACCACTCATTGGCCTCATCGTTCGTCACAGAGTAAGCTGGGTTCTCTCCCCCTCGAGGCCTGTAAACAGAAGTGACTGCTTCGTCAATGCGAGGCCTGTGGAAATTGAAAGAACTGAACATTTCAGTTATGTAGAAGGACCAGTATTTGAAATGAAGAGGACAAGTTTCGATTCAGTGGCTCCCAACAGGAAGATGCAAGGGTCACATCACAAAAAAAAAAACAAAAACAAACAAACAAAAAACAAAACAACAGCAGAAAAACAAAAAGGGATTTGTGACATTGTTTTAGTGATAGACTAAAAAATGCATTATAAAAATTATTTTTATTTCAAGACTACGCTACGCCGATCTCAATAGCTGAATTTCATATTGGAAATATTTTTCAACATGGCACCATGGACAAATTATAAATAAGACATAAGACAAGGACATTTGTTATGTGTGTCCGGGCTAGATTATTAAAATACAATATTTATACAAAAAAATTAAAATAAAACTGAAAATGAATGGATTAAAAGAATTCATGGGCAAAATTTAAAAAAATTATTAAATTAAAAAATGTTAGTATATTTTTTTTTATTTGTGTACTCTAATCCTATTAAAGCCAGGCTGTGATGAGCGTCCGAGCGGAGAGAGAGAGAGAGAGAGAGAGAGAGAGAGAGAGAGAGAGAGAGATATGAAGGGTCATCTTAGATAAATGCATTTTTTGTAGTGATGGGTTAAATTATATTTCATGACCTAACGATCTGTTGAGGACAAATTTGGCTCTGAACTACAATCAGAATCTTTTCTTTTTTCATTTTATCTTCATGAATTTGATGGAAATAACTCAATAATTTCCATCTAAGGCGATCAATTTACAATGAATTTCTGTTGCAGACAGAGCACCACTTTTAAAACAATAAATGTAAGCTGTACTTATAATTTGTCTTTTCACATTGTGAATCGAATAAGGCTATTACGAATACAAGGACATGAAAAGCCAGCAACAAATAAATCAACGAAGATCAGCAACGAGAAAACAACAGAGAAGACAGAGTGAACGTTTGCGGGCAGAAAAGCGACAAGCAACTTGAAACTTGTAATAGAGAAAAGATGCAAGAAAGGAGAAATGCTATGAAAGAGCAAGAGAGACAAGATTATATTCAGAACAGGAGAAACAGATATCATTTATGGAAAATGGTGTTGCCGTCACTACTTCTATTTCAACTAAAAGTAGTGGCAACCAAATTTTTAAACATGCAAATGACGAATAAATAAAATATTTTTTTTTAAAATAAAAATGTACTTCCACAAAAATAAATTATGGAAACAGTAAGTATGTGTGAGCTGTGTACGCGCACGTGAATTCTTATAAGTTCTTGACGGTTATGCCCAAATTCTTTATTTGGCCTGTCACTTCATGACGTAGACGATCATGGCACTCCACATCCCCCTGTCCCTTAATAAATTTTGTCTTTTTACAAATTTCTCACAAACCCTGTTTTACCATCCATTTACTCAAGCTCATCAAGTATATTACGCGCTGCTTTCCTCTGTTCCTCTTCCCCTCAATCTGCCCTATGAGTATCATATTTTCCAAGCCTTCCTTCCTCATTACGTGTCCCAGAAATTTCAGCTGCCTTTTTCTGATGTTAAATATGTTTTCTTTTTGTTTCCATTTTCTCTAAAACCTCGTCGTTGCTCACATGTTCGGTCCATGGTATTATCATGTTTCTGTAGAACTACATTTCTGTTGCTTCAAGTTTCTTCATCTTTGAGAAGATTGTCCAGCATTCACTGTCATATGGGAAGACAGAAATCAAATAACGGTTCAGTAGTCTTTTCTTTGTTTCTAATGAAGTTTTGATCTTTCTTAATATCCTGCTTAGATTTTGGAATACATCTTTGTCCATCTCAACATGTCTTCAGATCTCAGTGTCGCACTTTCCGCCCTCTGTTAGAAGACTTCCCAGATATTTAAAGTTTTGTAATTGTTTGATTTTACTATATCCGATTTGTAATTTGGATTTTGTGCTCATCCTTTTGCTGATAAGCGTGCATTCTGTCTTGTCGTCCTTTCTTCTCGCTTTCCATTCTGCCACTTTCAAACGGCCGTGGTAATCCCAAGGGTCTATCTACCAAATCTACCACTTCGTCCCCAGCCCCTCAACCTCCGGTGTCTTCCTCTTTGAGTTGAGGTGTCCACTCAGTCCGAACCGAACTTAGGGGTAACTGGCCGTACGCTCCCTGAGTACCCGTAGATTATTTCGATTGGTCAACTGGTCAAGTCCTGCTTGCTGCCCACGCTGTGTTAGTTTTTAGATCCAGTAAGCGGGGTGTTGTCCATACATTCACGGTCGACTGGGGGTGTGGACATGGCTGTGAGAGTTGGCGGTAGGAAGTTTAGAATGTGGCAAAATAAAACAAGAAACAATATCTGCAGAAGACAAACAACAATGGGGGAGATATTGACGTCTTTTATATAAGAAGATAACATCAGAACAAAGGTTACATGGAGAATAAAAACATTTAACATAGATGAGACAAGAAAAAGAAAAAAAGACACAATGCATCCAGCGAATTCCTAAAAGAGAGAGTTTGTGTGTGATAAACGCGTATTGAATCGCCTGGGGTAGGTTTATGACTAGTAGTCCAGTCTCATACAGACTTCTCAGAACAGAAAGGTCTCGTTCTTCTCGTCGGCCTTTCTCGTCTGTCTTTCTCGGCTGTCTTGTAGCGCCGCGACCCGTAACGGTCGCCTTCGGGTGCTCACGCACGTGACGACGATGTGGCGACCGATCGCGGTCTCTCCCGTCTCTCTCTCCCGTCTGGCCTCTTCCGTCTCGCTTGGCCGTCTGCTTCTCTTCAGCATAATTACGCTGGTTTATATAGATAAATCTGTTTGATCATGAATCAACCCTTGGTCCGGCACGCGATTATCATGAGTGCCAAAACTATCCCTTGACATGTAAACCGATTCTCCAATTATTTATCACGAGTTCTCGCTTCACCAAAATTATACTTTGGGATATTTAAACATTGATTCAACCTTTTAATCAAAACAAATACTGTTAAACAAAACCCAATATCTCGTAGCCTGAGTAAGCTCTATTTCAATTTTTAACCGATACATTTTATTTAGATCATTTTTTCATTGTATTTCCAATGACCCAGATTTAAAACATCGCCTCCTGCCTGAAATCATGTTTCTCATCGGTAAACACACATCTTAACCCAAATTATACTTTGACATATAAACACCATTTCCACTTCCAGTCAATAAAAGTTATATTTGCGCGTGTGCATTCATATGAGTGTGTGTATACCTCACTCTGTTACACCATTACCACCTTCTGTAGGAGCATTTGTAGTCTCCTTTCCGTGCCTGCTATCAACACTGTGTTATCTGCATATATTATGTTGTTAAGATTGTCATGTTGGCAAAATTACATGCTGGGAAATTAGTTGACCAGGGAACAGAAAATGGGAAAAGAAGAAGATTTTTGAAAATGCGCTGCTTTTTATACTTATACCTTCTAACTGCAGTAATTATAAATGGCACATTTTTCTGAAATATTAAAAAAATGCATGGAAATGACTTGGAACTGAAAAGTTTGGGAACCACTGACTTGATTATAAAAAAGATTGTAAAAGAAACAGTGTTTAACTAATGGTCAATTGCACGCATTATCAAATATTACAAATGAAATGCAATCATCAGACATATACATTTAAAGTAGCACAATACATACACACACACACACACATATATATATATATATATATATATATATATATATATAATATATATATATCACACATTATGAAAATGGACAAAGTCCGACAATTACTCTATGAAATTTTTTCTCTTGAATTCAGGCCGGTAAATGTTATTTAATACTGTTTATTATAAACAGAGCATTTACTTGAATATTTGTATCTATAAAAGAATGTTAAAGATAAAAAAATCTCCATGTATATATATATATATATATATATATATATATATATATATATATATATATATATATATAAATTTTATATATATGTATATATATATATATATATATATATATATATATATATATACAATAAAAATTTTAAACATGCAGAGTTTTTCAATTTAAAAAATTTGATCAGCCAATCACGCTACCTTGGTTTCAAAAGTTTAGGGTTATGGTTGAAAGCAAGTTAGCATGATTGGCTGATCTCCTAATTATATATATATATATATATAAATTATATGTAGTAACCAAATTACAGATGATAAGGTATTTAGTAATGACTAAAAATGAAAACAACAGGATTTTCCCAACCATGTAACAACAAAAGGAGCTTATGCTGTAACCACATTAGACGCACCAATTTGTTCACAAGCTCAGTCACTAAATCAACTTTCAAAATCTACCACAACTCTAACTGTAGAAGTCATAACACAATTTACCTATTTGAATGCGCACTATGCCAGAAACAATATGTTGGAAAATCTGAATGGCCCTTTCACTACAAAATTAATTATTATCGGAATCGGATGAAGTCGGCTCACCACGAAAGATTATTACCTGTAGAACAAAATGATTTTAAAAGCCATGCCAAATTCACTATAATTGAAAAAACAGAAATAGTTACAAAAAAAGACAACATTAGCAAAATTCTAGAGGAACATGAAGACAAATGGATTTTGCGCCTCAAAACACTTCAAGCCCTACCTACATTTTTCACCTACACAAGACAGTCAAGCTTGTGGATGTTTTGAGGTCACACACCCATACTAATAAATACACTTACACACATCATACACACTCCCAAAGAACAAATGATAGCATACACTTAACTCGCACACATTCCCTTCCCAGCAACCAATCAAACTGTCAAAATGACCAAAGGAAATCTGAGTCGCATGAATCTCCCCAGTCTCTATCTAAAAAACAAGAAAATACACCCAGATGCAAAGCCATTGGTAATCCAAATTTTTATTTATAAAAATATTGTTAAAGGTGAAATAGGATTGATTGCTGACACGTCGGCAGTTTTTTATGATTTTTAACTATTGGCAGGGCGAGGTTTTTTTTTTATTGTGTTAGATGCTTTTTAAAAAGTGTATATATCTTTTCTCCATACAAATACATATAAGTGACTATTTTTATATTTGATATATAAGCAAACAAAACAACAATGCTCCATAAAAGGTAACTGAATACTTCTCAAATAACTAACATGAATATTTATTGCTTATTTAAAACAGCACTCATTACAGCTAATTATATTTATGAACTCGAAAACCTCCAGAACTCAGCGGACAACTTCTCCAGAGCATACATGCGCTACGGACTCACCATCAACGTGACAAAGACCAGAGCTTCAACTATCACTAGGAATCAAAATCACTATCAACAGTTTATACCTAGAGAATGTTGAACAATTTCCACACCTTTACAGCGTACTAGCATCAAATGCATCCATTGTATGCCTGTGATACTTGGGTACACTATCGAAGAAACCCAGAAAACTTGAAAGATTTCATCAAATGAAACTTCGTCAAATCCTGCGGAACAAGTGGCAAGACCGGATCACGAAGAACGAAGTTCTCTTCCGAGCAAAGCCATCATGACTCGCCACCGACTTCGATGGGCTGGACACCTTGTCCTAATGCCAGACATCCACCTACCCAAACAAATCCTCTTCTCAGAGCTCGCATCTGGCATGAGTCCACGTGGAACTTCATGTCGCTGATTGAAGGATCAGATCAAAAACACTTTGCTGAGGACAGAAATCGATCCGGTCAATCGGGAGACGGAAGCTGCAGAATGAACCAATTGGAGAAGAGCAGTCAACAAAAAAACATCTTATGAAAAAAACAGAAGACAAAGAGGCGAAGAGAGTCCAAAAAAAAGCCAGAGCTCACCATCCCCTGAACACTCCTGTCCTACCTGCAGACATCTCTTCAGATCCAACATAGGACTCACTTCACACAGAAGGAAATATTGATGAGCACCTCAATAATCAGCAAGTTCTTCCAACAACGACGATTAGAGTTTATTATTTTACTTGGATTTGATGGGTAAACATTAAAAGGTATTTTTTGTGTATTTTTTAAAATAATTATTTTTGGTGAGCTATTCATAATGTTGTTTCCTTTTTTTTGTTGTTGATCACTTCGGTCATTAAAAAATAAAAAATATCGTGAAAATTAAAAAAAAAAATGAAAAATGATTAAAAACAAATGTTTTAACCAACGCTTTAATCCAGAAGTTATATAATAATGATTTTTTTATTCAAATAATTCCGACATAAATTATGTACGAAATATAATTTTCGATTTAGTGTTAAAAATCTTGAAAATTAGATAATAAATGCTGAAGAAATTACACATGAAAGTGTAGGTTGTTTTACCTTTCACCGGAACACTGTCATAAAACAGGCTGTAAATGTGTGCTGAGACAGTGTTATATGAGAGGGTAGTGAAACTTTCTCGCCCCGACCAAGAAGTCCTTCCAAAAATAAAAAAAAATGCTGATGTTTGAACAAATTTGGGGGAGTGAATCAGGCCGAGAACATTTCAGCACATCTTGGTATATTTATTTCGTTTTTATACTTGTAGACATTAAAGTCTAAGTAAAATTCACAGACCAACATTAACGATAGATACATGTCAAGTTGATATTAGCAGATGCGTACATGGAAGCGTTCATGCAATGTTTGCCATAGACTGTAGCGACATAGATCCACTAGAATAACACTGTTACTTTTACAGAAGAAAAGACAATGGAAACTCACCTCGCTCTAATTGTGGCTGTTGATGATCTAGACTTCTTACGTGTAGCTAACAAACAAATTAGCATACCCAGGAGGGTGACTAACACGACTCCACCTGTCACCCAGATGACAATAATCTCTGCATCAAAGTTCCATTCAGGTTCTACAGTTTCTTCTGTTTCATTACGTTCCGGTGCCACCGATACGACTTTACCTAAGAAATTGGTGGAGGCGGGAGGAGAGGAAAGCAAGAATAAGAATTAAACAAATATAAAAATTAGACAAGAATAAGAATTAGACAAGAAAGCATTTTTGCTCATTTTCACATGTTTTACAAATACAATATAATTAACAGATATTTAATTTTCATTTTAATAAAGAAATGTCTGATTGACTTCCCAGGTTTCCCAAATATTGCTGAAGGAGACAAATGTCAGAATTTGAACATTATATGTGTGTAATCTATCTTGTTTTTTTTTTAACTTTGTTTATATGCTTGTGAGGGTTTATGAGCATTCAATATATGAAATAAAGATTATATCTGAATAACACACAGACACACACATACACGCATATATATATATATATATATATATATATACTCTCCCGTCGTTTTCGACGTACGACGGTCCAGTAGCTCAGTTCTTAGAACCGACTACTCGTACATATAATTTAATTATAGCGGTGAAGGCTTGTGCAGAACAAACCACGATTTCGGAAGAAGCAGAGAACTGGTGTACGTAGTGTGCCACAAGGTCTCCAAACGATTCTCCTCATGTTTTGAATTCAGAGTTTTCCTTCATCTAGACTGGATGCCAAGGGCCCATAGCTGGAGGGAAAAAAAGATGGATTCCTACATTCCCCTTTTGCGCATACATAAGTGAATGTAGCGAACTTGACTGGGATTCGAATTTGGCTCCGATTTCTCTTTCCGAGTCGCTATTTCACCGCACATGTGTATGTCTCTCTCTCTCTTTCTCTCTCTCTGTCTGTGTGTGTGTGTGAGTGTCATCTTGAACTTCGTATAAGAGAGCGAGAAGTAAAAGCAGATTGAAGGGAAAAAGGAGGAAATTCTTTTGTTTCTTACAAAGTCAATTTTTTGATTCAGGATGCACAAACGTTACTTCTTTGCCTTTCATTTACAAAACTGATCACTATGTTAACTTCGTCAAGACGTTTACTTTATTCCTTAATAAAAAAAAATGATAACGTTTACCCTTTTTCTATCTGCAATTTACACAAAGTACTGTTTCACTTAATCAAGAATCCCAAACATGAGATTTTGGAAGATTTTTTTAGAAAGGGAATAATTTGGTACGAAGTGACAGGTGTAATATATCTGTTAAAATAATTGGGCCTTAAATTTGTCAAGGATGAACCGAGTTGATGCATTTAATCAAACTTGAACTACAGCCGTTAATGATATTTGTTTTGGGAAGAGCACAAAGCCATGGGGCTCATAAAGAACGAATAATCTCAAGGTACTAATAACTTACAATGCATTTATTTTATAGCTGAAAATCTTTGAAGATATTTGTTAAACGAAACCGCCTTGTATATAACTTGACCAAGAGAACACCCGGTCAGAATGGAACTTATTATTAATAACACACTGAATTAGCATCATCACTGCAGAATATACGTTCCTACTAAACTAATATTTTGGATTCATGAACATATTGGCTCGCAACTACTATGTTTTAATTTAATTTTTTGCTTATGAGTATGAAACCTGCAAAAAATGTTCAGTTTAAAAATATAAAATGTAAAAAAATATGAAATGGTAAAAATATGAAAAAGATTTCCTTTATCTTTGCCAGAAGACCTAACACCATAGATAAGAAAGCATCCCGAACAAGGTAAGAAAAAAGAACAAAAGGCAAAAGTCCCTTTGTTTTAAGAATATATATATATATATATATATATATATATATATATATATATATATATATATATATATATATATATATATGATTTAAATCTTAATCTATAAAATGGTATAAAATGAATAAATGTTAGTTGCAATGATATCCGGAACCAGGATTCCAGTTCTTGTTGAACCCATGAAATTGGTGGGATGTCATTTATCTCTCAAGACATGGTTATATTGGCTATATGATGTTGGTACAATTTTTGTGCAATCTTGCATACAGCTTGCAACAAAATGTTTGGTAAAATCTCCACAGCGTGACCGCAACGTTACAAAGTTACATTAACGGAACATCTTACTTATTATAAAACGCAGATTGTGTGTGTGTGTCTGTACGTTTATATATTGGATCGGATTTCCTACATTTTTCAACCGATTTCAACAAAACTTCACAGGACTGCGTAAAATTACCTTGCGGTGGTTCTGACAGTGCCAAAAATTGGAAAAACACAATTTTTTTAAGCACAAAATCAATTTGAAAACACAATAAAACACAATTCTGTCGCCAGAATGAAAGGGGGGGAAATTCTCATATCGTGTTATACTTATTATAAAACCCAGGTTGTTTGTGTGTGTGTGTGTGTTCGTTTATATATGGGATCGAATTTCCTACATTTTTCAACCGATTTCAACAAAACTTCACTTTTTCTTTTTGGCAGGTAGTGTTTCTTATTGTCTTGCACACTTTTTTCTTTATTTTTACATTCAGAATGCTTTAAAAATTCCATTTACAAGACAATTGTTTATAATAAAATTCTATTCAATCGATAGACTCATAACAATTGAAAACAATGTTTTTGTTTGAGTTTGACCAATTCGTAAAAAAAAAAAATAATTAAGACATGCGTGTCCGTCAACCTTAAACAATAATCTTTGTCAATTTTATTTTTCAGTCTTTATGATGGTCGATACTTGATCTATCTCTTACTGTTATATCCCCGGGCAACGCCGGGCTCTACTGCTAGTAGATAATAAATTTCAGGAAGAACATACATCCATCATATAAATTAATGATTCTCAATTAAAAAATGCAAAAAGAAATTTTATAACTTCTCTATATATTGTTAACAAATACGATAGTACATTGTTCTGTGTTGAAGCATACTCTGATAGGTTTCTTGGTAGTAGCAATGACTTTTCAAGGTATTCCGGAATTAACTGCTATTATACATGAGTTGCGTTTTATTTGGCTTCATTGAGCAGTTCACAGTGAAGAGCAGAATTACATTAACCATCATGTTACATTTATTATTTTATAACTTTTCCTACAAAGATCGTCAGTTAGTGTTATTCAGTGCAAGTCTTTGGTTAATTCAACCTTTTTGATATCATACAATTTAATAACAGTTATATGTCAATATACATAAACCTATAATGTATACAAATACACCCACACATTGATGGAAAATAAAATTGCAACACATTGAATATATGTTCTAATTTACTTAAGATTAAACGTAGAGATAATCTCGCTGGATTTCAGTAAATGATCACATATACTGATCAATATGTGCACAAGTATTAAAGTGGTTTATCAACAATATTCAAACCCCATTATCAATACACTGCATGTGTTAACACAAGCGTTAACATTTGCAGGTATACCATTCCACAGAAAATTATTCTACGACTCTTGTTAACGCAGTACAACAAGAATTGGAGATAGGCTACCTGAATGGGTCAGAAGTCATCCTATCATATCTTGTTGACCAGGGAAATTGTCAAATATGTTGCAGAGCATGTTGAATAATGTGGGTAGGAATTATCCTACTGGAACGACACATCACCTTCCAGTTTCAGGCATAACAGCCTTGGACGTATATGGGGATGTTCAATTTTTCGAAAATGCATCCAACTTCTCGAAGGCTCGCGATCTGACTCCTCTGTAACAGATCTAACTGAATGTGGAATGACACCGGCTTACACTGGATTCATCTACCACAATGATCATTCTCGCAGCATATGTCACCTTCTAAAGCACAGCCGGTGAACTAATAAAGACGGAGACTTTGAAAATTTTATCAAAATATCTGTTACCACTTAGAATTCTCATATTTTATTCAAATTAACATTGGCATCGTCTTTTAGTGTGTTGCAATTTTATTTTGTCAATGATCATAAGAAAAGACGTCCATATACAATGGCGTGCAAATGTTTTAGGCCAACTACATAAAATGAATATACACTCATATTTTATTAAGAATTTAATATTTTTTACTAATATGCTTTTATCAGTAGTGACTATGGACATTGAGGATTGGAAAATAAGTTGTTGCGATTTCTTAGGTATCATGTAACAGGAGATCCACCGCTTTAAACAGCTTGTAGGTGAAAAAGACCATGCAAATCTATTAGGCGAATGAAAGATCTGGGATGATGAAGTCATGATAATATGCAAATTTCTAAGTAGGAATTGTTCCATCTTATTATCTTGTCAGTTGTAGTTGAAAATTACCTTGCTTTATTACACTAAAAATCATGACTAAAATTTCTGCTGAAACAAAGATGAAGGTTGTGACTTTAAAGGGAAAGATAACTTAGAAATAGGCATGTGATTGGGAATTTCCAGAAGCAGACAAAAGACACTTTGCTATTACTGGAAGTGTTTAAGAGCAAAGAAAACCGGAAGACCACAAAAGTTAGACAAGAGACATGAAAGAAAGATTGTAAGAGTCTCGGAAGACAATCCAAAATTAACAGCCAGACAAGTGAGGAATGAATGCAGTCTTAATAGTGAAGTTTCAGTTGATACAGTACGCAGAGTATTACGAAAAATAACTTTAACGGGCGTGTATAGCAGCCAAAAAATATTAAACAACAACAAAAAAAAAACATCTGAATAGAAGACTGAAATGGTCAAAAGCACATCTAACATGGAATGTTGAAAAGTAACAAAAAGTAATTTTTAGTGGTGAATACAAAATAGAGTTACATTCTAAAGCAAGAGAGTATGCAAGAATATCATTGGGAGTAAGAAACAATACAAGATACACCACAAAATGATAAAATTTGGTAGTGGACTGGTAATATGGGTTTAGCGCCGATAGAAGAAATTTGGTAAAAATTGCTGGAAGCCTAAACAGTGAAAACTATATAAGTTTATTACGGTTTAATCTTCTGCCAAACTACGAAGACGCAGAATATTTCATCATGACG